AAGGAAGGAAGGAAGGAAGGAAGGAAGGAAGGAAGGAAGGAAGGAAGGAAGGAAGGAAGGAAGGAAGGAAGGAAGGAAGGAAGGAAGGAAGAAAGAAGGAAGAATAAGGAGAGAGGGAGTATGTTAGGAAAAAAAGAGTTGAAATAATGAAAAATAATAGTTGCCTAAAATGTATAACGAGATACCTGTTGTATGGAAAACTCTCCTAGGAGCTGAGTTCTTTCCGCAGTTTTAGATGCTTTGCTTTCTGTCACAGGCCTAATAATATTACAAAAATCAGAAATTTGACTTATTGACCTAAATCGGTGGTTTACACATAGCTTGAAAAATACAGTCATTATATATATTAGCCATTCTGAGGTCGAGAAAAAAACTGGGTCGAGTCTGATATTTCAGTGCATTATGGGAATGCGTTAAGAGGCAAAATCGACGCCATCTTGGAAACATGTCCCTAATACAGCCCTACAAGGCACTGCAATACGAACTCGACCGGCAGTTTTTTCCTTAACCTTGGAATGGTTAAGAAAAGGAGAGAGAGAAGGAAAAGGGCAAGGGAAAATAGGAAAGAATTTTCACGAACTTTGCTAGGTATTCGACAGAGTCGAACCAGACTTCGCCTTCGTCATCCTCTAAAAAATTCAAAATGATAAAAAATTATTGGAATAAAATTTATATGATGCCACGTTAGGCGTGCCATTAATGGTGTTTATCCAAAAGTAGTAGTCGGCACTAAAAAAAACAAAAAAACAAAAACAAAACAATGAAAGCCTCAATGCTTTAGAAAAACCTTTATATTACCTTCAGTTGTGTGGAAAGCCTCTCGACAAATATTCTGAATGCCTTGTGCCTCTTCCAGAGATAAAGTAGAAAGATTGTGTGTCCACTCCTATAAACATATATGATTACTTTAAATTCTTATCTAGGCATGAGCATTTGAAGTAGATTTCGTATCGCTGTGAAAAAACGCACGGTACGTACCTACCGAGCCGTGCCCATAACAGTACCGTCTCCGAGAATTTGATTCGACGAGCGGTGATCTTAAGCGCTGTGATTGGCTAATAGGATGTCGTGGCCGCGACAAAATCGTCTCCAAGTATTCAGATTGGACGAACAGTAATCTTATGCGCTGTGATTGGTTTAAATAATGCGCCATACCCAGAATCCCCTTCGGTATTTCTTGTATAATTTATCGTTTTGGAAAAGAAAAACTTTACAATATGATGTATATAGAGCGTTCACACTACGTCACAGCGGCCATTATGGGGTACCAAAATAATACATTTTCTATCTTCCGGGAATTGAACTTTATTTTTTAGGAAATACTGTGCAGAAAGTTTCTATTGTTTATGGCTGCCTTTTCATGTGAGTGAAAACGCTCTATACCATACTAAAAGTACCTTGTCAACCAAATTTTTTGATCCAATAATCCTCGGTGTTGTCTCTGTCTCACTTGCTTTACCAAATGGAAAATTCTTGATGAACTTCAATGGAAAAGAATATAACAGTACAAAAATAAATATCAAAAGATAGCGGTTTTACATAACAAACCAAGAAGGAGAAGGAGGAGGAGGAGGAGGAGAAGAAGAAGAAGAAGAAGAAAAAGAAGGAAACCCGCGCTGATTAGCTATCGAAGCCTAGGTATTTATCGTGAATTTCGATGCGGAGTTTTCTCGTCAGCCAATAAATATTTGGATATCATATTCTAGAGTTCAAAATTTCATATTTTTTCATAGTCTTATGATGTTATTACCTGCATTAATTGCTTGTATTTCTTGTCAGAAAGTTTCAGCCATATCTTTGGAATCACTCCCTTGACTTTAAACCTGCAAGGGCAAGAAAGAAGAAAAATTTTTGACGGTTATACTTCAGTTGCGAGTTCTTTGTATTATGAGGTTTATTTCCATTAAATGGACCATCATGCATCCTTAGTCATATAGTCCAGCGGCATTTCGCTGTCGGAATAACATGCATGCGCAAGAGTGAATCGCTTACTCGGGCAGTTCAGGATACTCAGCACTGATACTTTTAAATGCCTGCAATTCTAGACCAATGGAAGGTAGGATGTGGTCTGCTGTAGCATCCTGCTTGTGAAGAACCCTCCAATCGGAATCTGAATCACAGAAGTAATAATATCAGTAATGATAATGATATTAATAATAATATTAATAATAATTATTATTATTATTTTAATCACCATCAGTCCTCATCGTCACCACCAACATCATCATTAACATCATCGTCATCATATTCATCAGCAGCAGCGTCTTCCTCATCATCATCATCAGTCATCATGATTGTCACCACCAACATTATCATCATCATTTTATATATCTTTTATCGTCATTATCGTCGAGGTAGTCTATTAGGATGCCATTCACTTTTGAATCTTGGGCAAAATATCGAAGCTGTAACATAATCGATAAATAGCGAAACATATACACACCTTTGTCAGCCAAGAGGACTTGTACATCAGTGATCATGACATTGAATTGGTCATAGAACATCTTGGCTATCTCATCATCAGTCGCTTGCTGCAAAACAAAAAATTACACCCATGTTATCGTAATCTTTATTAGTGTGATTTTATTTGGCCCCCGTGAGACAAATTTGAATAATTAGTAACAAACAGTCCAACTAAAACAAAAGAAAACAATGGAATTTTGGTCTATTACTTTGTATTACTTTGACTATTCTTTCACGGGCGAAGTAAGATCACTTTATTTATGCAGGCTAGACTTAAGAAGCGGTGATATCACTCAATACCAATAACCTCTCTATGCTTTATTCAGTATTTACAACGACAGGCAGGATAACCGGAGAAGCATGACAAATCCCTCATGGTGCAGGAGAGAACAACACACCAGGGACCACAGCATTGAGGAGTCTATGAAGCATTAAGAGGAAAGACCACTCCTAACTTTCGCACAACCGCAGACCGTCAAGCAAGGCAGGCGTCGGTTAATCACAAAAATACGAGCTCAGCTGTTGAAAATTCGATCGAAGGAAAAATCCAGACGTATGAAAATGGGAGTAACTACGAGTTTTCAAATGAAATCTTACCGCAAAAGTTTTTTTCCTCGATACCAGGTCGCTGATAACTCTAAGATGTCCTAGATCAATGATGAGCACACTACCTTTCCTGGAAGTAACGAGGATAAAGATAAGATACTAGCCATAGTCTACTAGGTAAATGTTTGCTTTAGTCAGAGACCAAAAGACATCGCCGCGGCGTGGGATTTTTTTGCTGAAAGCCAGACATCACTCTTTTATGTTTATAAAACGCCAATAAGTCCTCTTTACCAAATTCAATCAGGGTTTAAAATGATGGCCGATCAGTCGCTGGTCATGATGACAGGCCAGATTAATATTAGCTCAGTCATACCTTGTTTCGTTACTGGTCAAAATGACCAGCAAGGCAAAGATTTGACTGGAAAAGTTCCAATAGAGGTTTTGCACCACCACGTGAGGGCAGCCATGTTAGATGACAGGAACAATACAATCACTTTACATGAGAAAGAATAAAAATCCCGAGAGCAAAGGGATTTTATTGTTCTGCTATCTAACCACAGGAAGCCCAAGCAGTATTATGGGATGGGCAATTGAGGGTGCAAAACCTCTATTCCCTCCGAACAATGTCTAATGGTCGGGCGTTATTGATGGTTGCAAGCATTCCTGGGAGGGTTAAAAGACAAAAACATGGCGGCCATTGTGGTACTGTTAACAATGGATGCTAATGAGAAATTTTTTGTTWAATGGTACCAACATGGCCGCGATGACGTAACGTGCAAACGAATAATTATAAGCCCAGAATTCTACTAGCAACAAAATGGACCAACCTAGCTATTTAAGCCATAAGAAAAACAACCGTGTACCTTTCAAGATTTCCATACTCAGGGATGACAATATAAGGTGATCTTATATCCATGTCGACGTAGGTTATCTAAATGATACAAACAAAAGTAAACAAACAAGTGATCTTAGACAGGGTAAATCCTTTCAGTAAATGTACAATACACTGTCATCCACAGGAGCCCTAACTTTATAAAAATAATATTAACAAAAGTAAATGAACGAGTGCTCTTAGACAGGGCGAATCCTTTCAGCAAATGTACAATTCACTGTTATCAACAGGAGTCCAAACTTTAAAAAGATGATATTATAATAAAAAATTATAGAATTATAAACTATAAAGCAAGTAAAAATATAAGATAAGCTAGAATTTTCAAAAATAAACCGAATACCCCACTTCCGAGATATGCTTCGCTTGTCACGTACAAAGGTTTCAGTATGAGGCTACATGCTCAGTCATTCGTGACAGGCGGTAAGAATTAATTTAATTTAGCACGTAGCCTCATACTGAAACCTTTGTGCGTGACAAGCGAAGCATATCTCGGAAGTGGGCTATTGAGATGCATTCCAACAAATTACGTCAACGAATAAGCCTTTTCATAGTTTAAGAATCGATTCCATTGCGCTTGCGATTTTATCCCGAATTTCTCACCTTCTTTTGTCTAGGCCTTCTTTTGTTCTTAATTAAACAAAAGAAGGTGAGAAATTCGGGATAAAATCGCATGCGCAGTGGAATCGATTCTTAAACTATGAAAAGGCTTATTACGATTCACTCAAACTTTTTGCGTGTTTTTCAACTGCGAAAACTTTGAAAGAAAAACAGCTACGCCTCGTGATCACATGACATGTTGCCTGTTGACGTCATATCGTGGTAAATAAGGCCCCGTCCACACGTATCCGGAAATCCGCATTTTTGTGTCCGAATCCTCAAATTTTCGAAAACGGACACTTGTGGACGGTGAAAACGATTCGAACACGCTGCGTGTGGACGCGAACATTTTCGTATCCGCAAAAAATAATTTGCGGATACGAAATTTCCGGATACGTGTGGACGGGGCCTAAGAGTAAATACCATGCAAAACCATCGAAAATGTGTTAAGTTTAATCCAGTACCAACCTTATGCTGTGAGATAGCATATTCTAGTCCTGCTCTTGTCCAGCTCTGCAGTTCCTGCAGTTTATTTGCTGCAGCGGCTTCTAGTCTAAATAGAATGAAAGCAAAACTCAATATTATTTTTATAATTACGCAAAACTACCCGGAGTTCCAGACGCTTTCTCGCTCCAGTACTTCTCGGTCGTAGGTTTCGTCATCGCGAGAGAATGAATCCTACGACTGCCTACGACTGCCTACGACCGGGAAGCACTGGAGCGAGAAAGCGTCTAGAACCCTAGATAACGTGACTCAGACAACTAGCTATAATTTGAGTGCTCTGGGCTTTTATCTTCTGTCAATCAAAATTTCAACCGTCTTAATTTGTTGTTGTCATTGCTGTTGTTGCTTTTAATGGACGGAAGCCAAAATCACAGACGCCATACGGTTTTAGCGGGAAAGTTCCCGCCAAATCTACAGTATAGCTCCTACAGCATGAGCCATGAAGAGAAGATTTAGGCCACGTCCACACGTATCCGGAAATTTTTGGATCCGCAAATTATTTTTTGCGGATACGAAAATGTTCGCGTCCACAGGCAGCGTATTCGAATCGTTTTCACCGTCCACACGTGTCCGTTTTCGTAAAATTTGCGGATACGGACACAAAATTTTGCGGACACGTGTGGACGCAACCCGTATCAATTTCGGATACAAAAATTTCCGGATACGTGTGGACGGGGCCTTAGTCACAAATGGGCATTTTTGATATCCTGACATAGTAATTCCAAAACTGAAAACTAATCTTTGTTTACAACTTACTCGTACAGCTTTGACTTGTTTGGAACGTCAAAAAAGTCTATAATATTATCAATGGTCATCTGAAAAATAAAAGAGAGAAATGACAGTAAATATAATCATAATTAACAAATATTCAACGAACTCGAGTCCTACATGAGATCATAGCCAACGTCACCCATTTCAACCAATGACAGCGCGAGAAAATTTATCGTTTGGTTATAAGAGCTGATTCCTCAGAATTAGAGTACAGCCAATCTGACGGCGATTGCTCATATCTAGTGGGTTGTCTATATAATAACTGTGTTAGTATAATTTTAAACTTGAATATTAGAGAAGACGAAATTCAGGATTAAAAAAATCTTTTAGTATTACTTCCGCACCGGCAAACGTTTGAAAACCTCAAAATCACCTATCGAGCAGTGAATATCGTCTCATGATCACTGGTCGCCCGACCAATCACAGTGCACGAAACTTTATATTCAAGTCTAAAATTATACAAAAATCGTTGCAGAAGGGGTGTTGGGGGAAATACCAAGGCCATAGAATGTGGGGATGGATACTAACATTGTCGTAGTTTACTTCAACCGGTTCGATCTTTAGTTTGACAGAATAATCAGCCTGGACATCAAGAGGGTTGAGTTCGAAAGAGAACCATAGCAAGGCATTGCCCATTCCTGGAACGGTAAAAATTGGGGATGGATTAAATGAAAAAAAAAGTGCTATAAGATATAAAGAATATAAAAAATGAATGAGATAAAATGGAATGGAATAAAACAAAACATGGAATAAGATAGAATAAAATAGAAATGCTACATTAGGATTGGGATGGAATAAGAATAGAATAAAACAAAATGGCATCGAGTCGAGTGGAATAGAAGTAAATCAAATAAATGGATTGAATAAGATATAAATATTTCTAAATTAAGAACTCACCACTGAAAGAGGTTTTGGATGACACCAAGCAGGGCCTGTCGCTTCCAGCTTGCGTACCATGGACTTGGAAACTATTAACCTCACAGCTGAACCTGATTAGGATAAACATTCATAATAAATGAAGAGGCAAGATAAGATCGATGCAATGATGGATCGATGGATGGATTGATGGGTGAACGGACGGACGGACGGATCGATGGAAGGATTGATGGGTGGACGGGTGGACGGGTGGACGGGTGGACGGACGGACGGATGGATGGGTGGACGGACGGACGGATGGATGGGTGAATATAATTAAAAATCAACAAGTGAACAGCATAATTACATTGCGCTTTTCTCAAGTCATTAAAAAAAAATACCAAACTAAAGATACTCACATTATAGCATCTCCTCCGGGTCTCTGCTCCAATGCTGCAGCAAAGCCTTTGGTTGATATCTCAGCTATTTTACTGCATAAAAAATCAATCAAAATAGATAAACTTGAACAAAATCACGAAAAACAAGTACAACAATTTCTTAATGGGACGCGCATTAATTTTATACGAAATTATATTTATTAATCCAATACTTTTAAAAATGCAATAGTCAAATTCAAGTCAGTCCGCGATTAAATAAAATACGCATCAGAGGTCATGATGGCTCCAAACCACTCCAGCTACGGCAAAGATGGGTATACGCAAAATTGTTTCTGAATGACAGGCAAGTGCCGAGGTAATAATGTACCTTTTCTCGTTGTCTAGGAGCACTACCTTGCATGAATCGAGGTTAAAAGTAAGTCTTCTCTTGACATACTGTTTAAAGACAACAAAAAAATATATGCGTCTACACTTGTTTTATGATTACGACACAGGAAAAGCAGGGCACTTGTTTGGAGGGGGAGAGCAAAGGGCACGTGTCACTCCCTTGAGAATAAGATTCTTCGTTTGAGTTGTATCCATATCCGTGTGCCTCACAGGTGCAACTGTTAAACAAAGAAATGATACCCAAGGGAATGGCACGTGATGTGAATGGGGAAATAACGCCAGAGCTATACCCCATCCCTGGGTACTTGCATAGCTTACCTCTACTGGATATTTTATCGGCGTTGTGTTCTCACTGTAATTAATGGCTCGGTAAAGTTTTTCTTTTTCATCAGCAGGCAGACCAGCCACAGTTAGAGCAAGAAGGTGTTCCTCTAAAAAGAGAAGAGGGGAAAACGTGCTGTCGGACTTTGAAACAATGAAAATATAACAAAAAAGATTTCCAATTTCTATCGAAACCTTGCAGCGATAAGAGTTGTTTGATTTCAATTCTTTCTGATTGGATGAATTTGTAATGTCCATCTTTCTGTAAAGCGCTATTGATCTATTATTGTTAAATAGGGCTATATAAGTAAAAAATTATTATTATTATTATTATTATTATTACTATTACTATTACTATTACTATTACTATTATTATTACTATTACTATTACTATTACTATTACTA